TTGCTGTATAAATTCATGCACACACTGAATAGAAGGATACGAGATTTTCCCCAAAAAATATACTTCATTCATACGGCGTTTTACAATACACATAACTTTTGCTTTTTCGCGCTGAACTGTGTAATAAGCAGAAAAAGTAAGATTGAAGTTACTTTTCTGGTTGTATTGGTTGAAGTTACAGTAGATGACCATTTTAACTATTTTTACATATGATTTTTTCTTTATTTTATTAATAAAATATATTTTAAAAATAATTTTTTCTTAAATCAGCAGAATTAGCCAATGCAACCACTTCAGCCAGAACTTCATAAATTTCAGCAGAATCAGCCAAAACAACCGATTTTCGTGCTATCAAACAGGCTCCAAATATTTACTCATAAGTGACTACCTCTACCATCGTGAAAATTCTAAATATGCTACTCCCAATTTACCTAGTCCCAATTTGGCAATTTGTCCGTCGATTTGATCACTTATGCAAAACAAATGCATTGGCTGATTCTGTTGAAATTCATGAAGTTCTGAATGAAGTGACTGGATTAGCTGATTCTGTTGTATTATGAAAAATTATATTTAAAATATATTTTATTAATTAAACAAAAAAATTATATGAAAAAAATTAAAATGATCATATACAGTAACTTCAGTTATAGTCACAAAAGTAACTTCATTCTTACTTTTTTTTTCTATTATTACACAATTCAGTACACGAAATTAAAAATTACTCCCTCCGTTTCTTAAAATTCTCCCCAACTCTCATTTTTGGGTCGTCCCAAAAAATTCTTCCAACTTCCCCTTGTTGGATAACTTGTGTGGCTCAATGGCTCACATTCATATCACATTTTTCTTACACAACTACAACAACACATTTCCACTTTATTCCACTTCATAAATATGCATGCGATTCAACTCAAAGTTGAAAGAATTTATTGGAACGAAGAGAGTACATGTTCGGTGAAAAAGTTAGGTGATAAATCTTGAATTCTTGATTACTAAGTCAATCACTCGCTCATCAATTAATTACCATCTCTCAAATTAAACGTTGCTACTTTATCGATGGGCTATAAAAGTTAATGTCACAAAAAGTTCCTAAACGGGTTCATGAAAGTCACTAACAACTACTCACTCCACCTCAAGTTACTATTACTTAACATAATTAAGTTACCAGCATCAGCATGCACACCAAATACTCCGTATGAAGTAACTATAATCTTTGACACACTTCTTCCTATTCCACTTCTCTACAATACTTCTTGTTGGCTCTATCCTTCCAAAATTAACGTGTTGACCGTGTTGCTCCTAAGTTGACCTCGTTGATCATCTAACTCCAAGAATTGACCTGCATAATGATTACTAAAAAGAACTAAAAGTATATTAGTGGCTCGAGACACGTCAAACGTTGTCCTAAGGAATTATTTCCGACGTACGGAAATTTCCCCCAAGATATAACGAGCCCTTCGGTACAAGACCGGTAACAGAACTAACGAGAAGAAAATTAGTATATGAACCCAATAATAAAGGAAAAATCGGGTTTTATAAATTAAGCATAGGTTATCAAAAGAAAATAAACTACTAAAAGCCATCATAACCCATTTGCTCTCAACTACAATATACATAGTACTTCGTATATGTTTAGACAGGAATGTTCATGTCAGGCCGGCCTGACGGGCTGCCCCGTCCGGCCGAGTCCGTTTGGGCACCTTCCCGGTGGAATTTTTTGATTAAATTTTTTGAGCATGTTCCTCATCAAGTCTAGTTTATCCATACCAAATTTCAGCTCAAAATTCGATCGGGAAGGTCGTCAAATGATTTTTGCAAGTTAACTGGTCTGGAATATGTATGTTTCAAGAAAAATTCTTGAAACATACTGCACATTCTGCGCACATATAATGTGCAGTATGTTTCAAGAATTTATTTGAATGCTTTCCCGATCGAATTTTTAGCTGAAATTTGGTATAGATAAACTAGACTTGATGAGGAACATGCTCAAAAAATTTCATCAAAAAATTCCACCGGGAACCACCTCAAACAGTAAAGTTCGGACGGAGCCTCCCGTCCCTCCGGATGGACCTGAGCATTTCTGTTAAACTACATATGCAAGTTTGGGGTGCTTATCTCACACCCCTTCAAAGTTTGGACCATTTTTTATTATTTTTCCTGACTTTAAACCATTTTTACTTTATTTTTACTTTATCACTTCAATATCAACCACATAAACTTACTTTTCTTAATAATCATGTCACTTTTTCATGTCACTTATTTTTACCTCTGTCCCAATGTTAGTGGGACAGAGGTAATATTATTTTTTCATTTTTTCTTGTAAGAAGTAAAAACAAGGTTCTCAGCTCACAACCTTACCTGATATGTAAATCTAGTGAATAGTACTCTGTATTAGCTAAGCAAGGAGATGTTCATTTTAGTCATCAAAACTGTACCAGTTCATTTCCTCTAATGCATGTCTTGTCTAAACGCAAATGATTGATACATGGAGCATCAAAGAATGGGCCCAATCCTCAAAATTTAAAAAAAAAATTGGTATACGTTCATAAGTGAGTACTATCCCACAATCAAATTGGACTGTACCGTCCCAAGCCATCCAACAAAACCGGTTATATTATACTAATATAATCTACATAGTATAGTTCTTAATCAAATCTAGTTTTTCTAGTATTGGACTGTACCGTATCAAAAATTGGTACAGAACGGGACAAGTTTTAAAAATAGTCATATTTTTATCTCGGGAAAAATAATTAAAACATCCCAAACTTTGAAAGATTTGACATGAGTAACCAAAGTTGCACATGTAATATACACACCCCGAACTTTATATAAAAAGTTGTGTTAGCACCATGATCGAATATTTTGTTCAGGAATGTAATTTTATGGTGTTAAGTATATAATTTAAAATACACAAAACATTTTTTAAGGATGCAATTATTATTAAATTGTACATGGTGTAATGTTATTTATTTCGCAAATGAAATTTTATAATGTTAATTTCTTTCTTAAAATGCTTAGAATATTTTGAATCGTGTAATTATTCCAATAAACACATATTTGTACAAAAATAAAATAATGGTGCGAAAATAACTTTATATGTAAAGTCCAAGGTATATATTACATATGTAAGTTTAGATTACTTTTCTCACACTCAATTAAAGTTTGAGATATTTGAATTATTTTACACTTTTATCTTTCAAAATTGGTAATCCTAATTTTTTTCTTATCCCGATAAAATTTCTATATTTTCCTTTTCCGAAAATCCCACAAAGATTTTCACAAACCAAATTTGGAAGAGCATGTGTGACTTTAAATAAATGTCACTTTATTCTTACTTTATCAATACAATATCAGCCACATAAACTTATTTTTCTTAATAACAAGGTCACTTATTTATATCTATTGAATTATTTTTTTAAATCTATTGAATTATTTAAGTCAAGCAACATGATGTTCCAAATCTCCGACAATGTTAGAAAGTCTTAGTCATCAAAATTGTACCATTTCATTTTCTTTAAATGCTTGTCTTGTCTTACCTTTACCAATGAAAAATGATTGATACATGGAACATCTTGGACAAGATAAAAATGGCCTACAAGACTCAAAATTCAAAATTATTACTAAAAAAATATAAAAGGGTCATTTTTTGATGTAAAAAAAACAAAACATGGATAGATTATTTGTGATGCCTTTATAACCACACAATTTTATAACTCTATTTTTCTTATTTGTGAATGGAGCCCTTTGCTTTAAATGACAATCTTTTCTTGCTCAAATAAACATAAAGTTGCAATAATTTTCATCTTTGTCTGAAAAATTAAATTCACATGAATCTGAACAAAACTTTTTTCCAAGCCTAAAGGAGTGTTTGGGGTTGCTTAAAAAAAGCGCTTTTCATCTTTTGGCTTAAAAAAAGTTGAAAATAGTGTTTTCAAATGACAGCTTCTGCTTAAATTAATCACTTAAAATCTAAAACCTGGAAGCAGGTAGAAGGGTGCTTTAACCTGCTTCTCACTTTTTCTATTACACAAAAAGTACTTATTTTACCAAACACTACCAACTTTTACTTTTTCAGAATCACTTTTTTCTCAAACACTACCAAGTTTTACTATTAATCATTTTTCCCAAAATCACTTTAAAAAATCAATTTTCAAAAGTTGAAGCAATCGCAAACACTCCCTAAAATTGTCTCCTTAGTATATACAGAGTACAATTACAAAAGAAGACAACATGAACATGAACAAAATACTTCCAATGCATTCAATATTACAATCCTTCTTTCTATTGGCTTGTTAGCCATTATTTTGCTCCTGAACCAGTAGAGAAATATACGTGATTTTCTTTTTACATTGAGGTATATGTTTCAAAAGTAAATGTTTTAGGTACATTGAGGTATATGTTTAAATTGCAACATTTACAAAAAAAGACAAAATAGATCAATATAGCTACATTATTATAAGTAATGAATGTTAAAATACATTTTAGGCTTAATGTTTAACAATTCAAAAATAAATTTCATATTTTAAGTAGTTTGATTTATTCGGTTCGATTCAGTTTTAAATTTCATTTTCAATTTTAAAGTTCTTAAACATTTTGTTAGTAATAATTGTGTCAATTCAGTAAAAGTAAAATGGATAAATAGGATGACTAAAACATTGACCGATGGACATAATGCTTTTCACAATGCCAAAGGTATACCGTTTACAAATTGAATTTTGATACCAAAAGTAAATTATTTCCTGCCATATGGCCCGGTGGTTGGCCACTCGGACATAACCAAGCCCTGCAGCTCTTTCACCATGTGATTACAAGAGTGGAATGGACCCCTATGCTTTAAATGACAATCTTTTCTTGCTCTTGATAAAGACAAATTTGCAATTATTTTTCATCCTTTTCTGAAAGTCTAAATACACATTAATCTAAAATGAAGTTATTTGTATGCCTAAAAATATACAAGTTCCGTGTCCTTGGTATAGACAATTACAAAGGAAGATAACATGAACTTAATACAATAGAGTGGTGTTTTGTGATTTGTCTTAAATTAAATCAAAATAACTTTCAAAGTACCCATTATTACAATCCAAATAGCATTGAGAAATACAAATTAAAACTAAAACAGGTTAGGTAAAATTTATACATTGTTATTGAATACTGATATCAGAATAGTAGAATATCATATTAGGGAAATCAAAAGAACCTCAATTGACTTAGGAATCATCCAAATCAATTACAAAAGTAACAATTACTACATTACCAACACCTCTCCATATCCGCATTTCTTTGTTCATTCATTTTCTACCTTGTAAAATCAAGGAAGATGACCATGTGTACCACCTACATGTAGTAAACATGTAACATATAAAATACTAAATTTTAATATAAGAGTTATCAGATTATCATAACAACTTAGTACAATAGTGCACAATAAAGATTACAGCAAAATCTGAAACAAAAACAGATTATGGATACACAAAAAAACTAAGAAAAATCAGCAAAGTAAACACAGAAAACTAGTTATAAAGCAAAGTAATAAAAGCACTAAGAAATACAATATGACTCTATTTAACCAAAGAAGCAAGAAAAACCCAGGGGAAAACAACAACTATATACTTCTCTAAAAACTTAGCACTTAAAGTTTCAGTTCAACTCTAACGCATATTTCGAGTATAATTTTACCAAATTGATGCAAAAGGGAAACATTTATCAAACTTGAATACCACACAAATTTTGGCCACAAATTATTAAACAAAACTAAAACAAAAATCAACAAAAACATTGCCAAAAGCATAGATGGATGAAAGGGATTAAGAGGGACAATCGGAGTAAGGGATGAGGACGGAAAATAGCTTGTGATTGGAGACTAGATACTCACTATGAAAGCAAACTGCAGTTAGCTAAGATGAAAGAGGGGTGCAGGGAAAATTGAGAAATATCGAAAGATAGGAAAAGGTCTTGTGATGGAACGCTGCCTTGCATAGCGTCTAGTAAAAGACATGACCTTCTGATAAAAGTTAACGAACCAAACACATAACTTGAATCTGCAAGGTACTTTTTCAATAATACGTAAGTTAAAAGATACCAGCTTTGACATTCCAAACATAGCCACAATACATACTTGTTTCAGCACCATTTTTAATGACTCCTTCGAGCAAAGCCTTCCAAGTGGTTCCACCACCATCGTTGGGCACTTGACTCGCTTCGGTGAACTGCACAACAATAGTTAAGGGAAAAATGAAAAATATTACATTCCATTACGTATCACCCTTACTTTTTTTTTACTAAGATAGCACCGTAACTTTTTATACAACTCATACTTGTTGATACTGAACCATTTGTGGAAGTAAAGGAATATTTGGATGTAAAATGGGTGCCCCATACGGATTGGTAGAGGGCATCCAATAATTGTATGACTGAGGACAACCAGCTTGAAAAAGATGCATTGGAGATAACAAAGAATATTGTTGCATAGTCCCAGGCAAACTTTCACTTGAAACGCTTGATGGCTGATCAATTATTATTCCACTCTTCTGAAAATTGACGTTAGTATTCAAATCTAACCGCTGCATTAACAACAACCAACATCAACAACATAATATAATGTAATACATCAATAGTATATATAACTCATTTATTAACTCATTGACCTTTGCTCTATCATTTGCATGAACCTTTGATAAACTTTTTGTGGATTCACATTTCTTGATTTTTTTAGCCTGCAATAAAATAAAAATTATAATTAGAAAAGTATATGACTTCCACTCTTTTTTCTACAAGAATTAATACAAAAGACAATTACATGATATCTTTTCTTTTTCCTAACTGTGAAGTTAGGACAACCACCATTATCCTTGCTCCCAACACCATCAATATCATCACATTTATACATCTCATTACTACAATTGGTTTTGTGATTGTCTTCATGTAGAAAGGTTCCCTTTCCCTGCAATATATAAACATAACTAGTACACATATGTCATAAGTGCAAAAATTAAAATTTACTATAAAGTATGCTAAAATATGTAAATATATGAAAATTAATTAACTAACATGACATCTTTGGTTGTCATCCAAAGATAGAACGTCATCCTTCTGAGTGTCATTGTTATCGGAATCTATCCTTGGGCATGTTGTTATTACATGTCCTGCACGGTTACAGTTCGAACAACGCCTCCTTTTACCTCCGTTTTTTTTCTTTACTGGGGCACCTTTTGTCTTCACAACAGTAGGATCACCAATATCTTCAACAAATGATGGATTACTACTCCCTTGTTCACCAAGCTTCTCTAACTTATGAGTGAGTCTAAGTATCTCATCTCTAACTTCATCGAAGTATTGAGTCTTTTTGGCAGCAATTGTACATAGTCTGTTACAGGAAGCTGCTAAAGCACCAAACCAAGCAAATATCATAACATCAACATCTACTTCACTTGATGACATTGAAGAGATTATATCACCCTTGCTCGTTTTAGTCCACCTTCCACATATCAGGTTACTAGGAAAGTTCCGAATGTTCTCAGTTTTCAAAAAACATATAATATGAGAACAAGGAATACCGCGGGATTCATAAAGACGACAAGCGCATGAAAATTTAGAATTTGATTTATCAAAATCAACTTTAACTAAACTTTCGGGATGCCCATATTTGCTCAGGTGAAGAGTCACATTATCTCCATTTTCTATTCGACCCACAACGTTTAATGCACAACCAAGCTCAATCTCTTTCTTAACTTCTGTAAACATTTCCAGTGTGTATATATCAGCAGCTTGGCGCTCAAGGTGCTTCAAAGAGCTCGTCATCACTGGTTCTGAGAAATTGGACTTAAAATCAGCAATCAACTCATTATTTCGATACTCCCTAAGCACCTGTTCAAAATTATGAATAAATTCAACGAGGGTATTTTTTTTTTCTCACATAAGATCTTATGAGAGAATTTATTGCTTCACACTGAGATGTAGTCCGGATGCGTCCAAAGAATGTATCACGTAGATACGCAGTAGCCCATAATAACTTGTTCTCATAGGTTTTCAAAACCCATGTGTTACCTTCAACCCCATGCTCAACTATAATTTTATGCCAAAAATCTTCAAACTCTTCAGGGGTGAAATTAGAATACATTGCTTTCTTAAAATCCTCCAAAAATGGTGGGTTCTTTACATTCTCACATGCATTCTTATTCAAGTGCCATGCACACAAACGATGAGTAGAATCTGGAAAAACTACTTTAATAGCCTCCCTCATAGCAACATCACCATCAGTAACCACTGATATCGGATGTTTTTTATGCATTGCTTCCAAAAAAGCTTCTAAGACCCATTTATATGTCTCAAATGTTTCATCTGACACCAAAGCACAACCAAATATAATAGTTTGAGAGTGGTGGTTACATCCTGAGAAAATAACCAATGGATAATTATATTTGTTTTTCTTGTACGTGGTGTCAAATGCAAGAACATCACCAAAGCACTGAAAGTCTACTATGCTTTGTCCATCTGCCCAAAATAAATGTTTCAGCTTTCCATCATTTGTAGTAGAATACTTACAAAACATTATGGGATCATTGTCAGCTTTGCCTTGAATGTAGCTCAGAGCAGCTCGTGCATCCCCATCTTGAATCTTAACACGCTTCTGTCTATCAAGATAGTTGTATAGATCCTTTTTTGAAAATCCAATCCCACTATACCCTCCTTTTTGAGCCAACATATACCCCATAATGTGACATGTACGAACACCCTGCATGTGTAAGATATCAATTTGAGCTTTGTCTGCATCATTCATGGCACGATAAGCGGGAAACAGGTGGACATACGTAGAAGGAGTCAAAAAATGATTATGTTGCTCCACAAAAGAACTCACAATCCATTTTGATTTTTTTCTATCCAAGCGCACACGAAACTTAGCTTTACAATTCGTGCGTGTGAGTGGTGCATGAGGTTTTTTCCTATCCACCTTCTCCAAATACTTTTTTTGCCTCAATCCAGCTCTATTACATACCAATTGTTGCATTGTAATATTTTTGTTCCTGTCTCGAGCAATATTATGTTTCCTCGCAACAAATCCCTTACATCTTGCATATGTTTGAAAAAATTTGCAAGCTTCATGTCGAGTATCAAATTCCAAATCCTGAATCTCACTAGAAGATATGTCATATATTCTTCTAAAATGATGATCAATAACTGGTAATTGAATGTTGTCTTCATTCTCATCACCCTGCTGATTGTCATCATCGGTACTAATCTCACAATCGCTATCATTGTTGTCAGATATAACTTCTATCTCGTCATCCAAAATATCATCTTCTTGATGATGACCGAAATTAGCAAATTCCTCACAAACAAACTTGACCATCACAAACAAACAAACTTATAGTTATTTACAATAAACAATAACAAATAAAATTATAGTTTCACAAATGTAAAAAATTGAGAGAAAGTGACTACATCAATATACTAATTATAATAATACTGCTAAGGATGACTTAACTAATAGTCTAATATTACTAACATGATTACAACAAATTGATACACCATTTATACATGAATGCTTTTATCTCTTCCTTGTTTAAAAAATAGTTTAAAAAATATTAGAAGTGTACAGTCAGCAGTGGCACATAACATTTGATCATTTCACAAAAGAGCCTTTAACATGAAAGCAGTGAGACACCGATCATTGTCTAGCTAGTTTTCTTTAATTTCCAACATCATAAAGGACCTAAAATTTTATAATAATAAAAGTAGGAGTAACAAATTAATCTGAAAAGTAAAAACTTATGAAAGTTCATACATGTAGGAGTACCAATTTATGAGGACAAATCAATTAAAATTTCAAAATTTTATACTTTACTTAATCGTAAGTTGATTTAATCACTTATAAAATTACAAGTTAGGTTCATAATGTGGTCATAGGATATTCTAGTTCATGCAAATTTGAGACCAGGTTTTAAAAATCCTAATTTTTATGTGAACCCAAGAAAGGGAGGTAATAGCAATAAGGCACATAGAAAATTAGCAGTGTGAGACGAATATGGAGTACCTCAATATGTGCCATCTTTGTCAATTCTTGAGCTGGGAGTCCATTTGTCCAAAGGAGAAGGCGAGGGCAGATGACTATGTTTGCCAGTCACCTTGGGGTACAGGGTGGAGTGAGGTCAATAGGAGCCGAGGTCCCAAGGAGGCTGGAAACTTTGCCGCTACAAGCAGTCTAGTGATGATTACTTCGGATGCAAGGAGTGGATGGGGAGCATATATAGTGTTCACTGGTTCTTACTATTTAGTTAACCCTGCACAAAAAAGTAGAGTGTTGAAGCATTACAAAGAGAGACAAAATTAACTAATTTTTATTGGAGGTTCATTACTTTGAACATCACATGTTACTTGTCAAAAATGATGCCTAGCCACAATTTGAGGTCCAAGTATTTTCAAGTCCAAACTTCACCAGAGTTGTTTTTTTGATTATATCTTCACATTTTTAAATTTAAAATTGATTGGATCCATTATTTTTTGGTTGAGAGATGATCATGTTTTTCGGTTAGAAGTCCTCTCTTTTATACTGGTGAGTATAAAGTTTACAAAACATCATGGAATTTTTTAATTTAACATAACTCAAAACTATTTGTATACTGTGTTCACAAATTGTAAATAATAACTAAAAGATGACTAATTGGGAGAAAGTGACTGCCTCAATATACTAATTATAATAATACTGCTAAGGATGACTTAACTAATACTAACATGATTACAACAAATTGATGCACCATTTATACATGAATGCTTTTATCTCTTCCTTGTTTAAAAAAATAGTTTAAAAAATATTAAAAGTGGACAGTCAGCAGTGGCACATAACATTTGATCATTTCACAAAAGAGCCTTTATCATGAAAGCAGTGAGACACCGATCATTGTCTAGCTAGTTTTCTTTAATTTCCAACATCATAAGGGACCTAAAATTTTGTAATAATAAAAGTAGGAGTAACAAATTAATCTGAAAAGTAAAAACTTATGAAAGTTCTCTGTACCTGAGAATTCAAATGAAGTAATACATTAACATATACTGGAAAATTAGTAGGTGAGGAGTAAGTACGTAGTACAATGTTCTAAATTATTGAAAAAGAGTACAAATACACTCTTGACATATGTTTAACTGCAATTGTATAGAGAAAGAGTACAAAGCAGGTTAGAATAAAGCAATTTAACACACTCTAAAATTTATTGCATATTCCTCAATACATTTGAGTCATTTCGATCATCCAATTTAAATTTTGCTGTGAAAATAGATATTTAGGATTATGATATTTGATGTTTATACTTTTTAATGTCTTGGAATTGTGGTTAAAACTTACTAACATCTGAATAAGCCTAGTGTTGTTCATACTTTATATGTTTTAATCATGCTATGTGAAAAGTTAGTGTGTTTTTATGAAATTTTGCACTGAAAGTATGTATTTAGGATTATGAAATTTGATGTTTGTACTTTTCATACTTTGTGAAAAGTTAGTCTGTTTTATTACATTTGAGTTGAAATCAAGCTAAAGATAATGTACATATGTGTGAATTGAGCTTAACTTATCTATTTGTTGTTAATTTGGTAGTCTAACAGAGCCTAGAGGCTGGAGTAAAGAAAAACTGGGAAGGGGTTGAAAGTGGCAATTGATTAGGGAGGATTCTGATATGAAGCAGAATCTGGGCTTGGAAGAAGAGGGGCAAAAGCCCCCGTGGGTTTACCGAAGGCGGGACGGGCTTGAGCCCACCTTCGTGGGCTGGTTGCGGGCTGTTTAATTAATATTTATTATTCCTTTTATTTTGTTTCCTAATTTAATTTGTTTCCTAGTAGGATTTATTTAGGACTTCTATTCTTATTAGAATTAGAGGTTTCCTATTTCTATTTAGTTTCCTAGAATGATTTAATTAGGAGTTCTATTAGAACTAGAGGTTTCCTATTCTATTTAGTTTCCTAGATTAATTTATTTAGGATTCCTATTCTTATTAGACCTAGAGGGTTATTTATACCCCTTGTATGCTTCATTCTTGAGGATCTTGGAATAAAAGTTGGTTTAGCCTTTTGGCTCTGGGCAACGGTATTTATTTATCGTTGATTATCTGGGCAACGGTTCACCCCGTTGATTTTATTTTTCCGCTACACAACAATTGGTCCGACCTGCCGGATCCCGTCCCGCCGGAATGACAAGATCAATCACTGAACGCTTGTCAAAGATGGAGGCCGAACAGGGTTTGCTGAACCAGAAACTGGACGCGCGGGGAGCAATGCTGGATGCGCGGGGAGCGATGCTGGCTGAGATCGCAGCCTCCTTGGCTGCGCTCACGAAAGCTCTCGCGCCCTCAGCGGCGGAGGAGCATTCACTGGCTGCAGCTTCACTTGACGTGTCAGCGGCTTCACTTGACACGACAACGGCTTCACTTAACGCGGCAGAGGCATCCGCGTGCGGAACTGGACTGTGCACCACCACTCTAACGACGCTGACCTCGGTTGACGGAGAAGACCCAATCAGCTGGGTTGCTAGGACTGAGAAACAGTTCGAACTGAACTATACTCCGCCGGGAAAGAGGGTGGCAGTGCCCATGGCATTGATGGCCCGTTTTGACTCACGGTTTAATGGCAATCGCTTTGAACAGATGTCCAAAGTCAAGCAAACAATGACCATGGAGGAGTACATCTCAATTTTTGTTCAAGTAATAAGTCAGGTCCCAATGCTATCCGACGATCACAATTTGAGGTATTTAATGAACGGGCTGAAAGGATCTAGTGACAGCTTTGTTAAAGATACGGGGCAGCCCCCGAGAACAAATGTCAATCAGTTTCCAGATTTCAACCTTGAGGACAAGGTTTTTTCAAAGGGGGATGGAATTGATATGAAGCAGAATCTGGGCTTGGAAGAAGAGGGGCAAAAGCCCCCGTGGGTTTACCGAAGGCGGGACGGGCTTGAGCCCACCTTCGTGGGCTGGTTGCGGGCTGTTTAATTAATATTTATTATTCCTTTTATTTTGTTTCCTAATTTAATTTGTTTCCTAGTAGGATTTATTTAGGACTTCTATTCTTATTAGAATTAGAGGTTTCCTATTTCTATTTAGTTTCCTAGAATGATTTAATTAGGAGTTCTATTAGAACTAGAGGTTTCCTATTCTATTTAGTTTCCTAGATTAATTTATTTAGGATTCCTATTCTTATTAGACCTAGAGGGTTATTTATACCCCTTGTATGCTTCATTCTTGAGGATCTTGGAATAAAAGTTGGTTTAGCCTTTTGGCTCTGGGCAACGGTATTTATTTATCGTTGATTATCTGGGCAACGGTTCACCCCGTTGATTTTATTTTTCCGCTACACAACAGATTCCCAGTCCATATATACTATATTTAGTATCCTTTCACATCTTGAACAGAAAATAAAGTGGAGAGACCTTAAATTCTTTCAATAATCTCAAACAGTCTTTTTACCCATATTTTTTAAACAAGGGTAGTTAGTTTCAATCTATACTCTACTTGAAAAAGCATAATTATTTTGTGGGACAATAAGTTTTAATACGGAATAAAATGTATTATCAATGGGCATTTAGTGTTATGTAATTGATATATAAGATTTTAAATCTTGTATTTTGTTTCTTTGGAAATTTCAGGAATTATGCTTAAAGATTAGAGGTACATGATGATAATAGTGAATTAGTGATGATATATGGAGAAATCTTGCACATGATACTTTCATAGACTGTTCGATTAAAGAGGTATGAAGGCTATAGGGGCTCTTGGCTTTTTCAATAACTGAGAAATGATGAGTGGCAATCATTAGGAGTGTGTAAATGAGACAAATCCATGCTTGCTTGTCCCTTGTTCAAGGATCTTGTTGTAATGCTACAATCACATGATATATGGATGTAATTAAAGTTCTATAGCATATGCATGATGCATAAGAAAAGGACTATAAGTATATTTTATTTATATCTTTCCATTACTTTACATTCCTGATTAATATATTGGCATAATCTTAGAAGTTTTTTTGCTTTTTCTGTAACTCTAATACTTTAGATATTGAATTAGTACATAATGGCATTATGTAAAGCATCAACACAATTATGCTTTTGAAATAATGAATCTTGGTGGCCTTCATTCTGATTTCTTGCGTTTATATGTTTTCTACATGGACATTATTTCTATATTAGGAGATTGATGAGTTAATCCTTGTGATCTCCCTTATTTGTATATACATGTACTGATACTAAAGTTTATTATTTCAGGTGCAGCATTAGAGTTTATGTTAGATGAAGATGTTAAGGGAGTTTGTTCCCATGATGTTAAGGCTGCTATTGCAATATGATCCTGAAAAGATTAAAGAAATGCTATATCAAGAAAACAGACTGAAAGATTGTTTTCTGTCCAATTACATGTACAATCAAGTCATCCCAAGTTGATTTAGTCACTTATAAAATTGCAATTAGGGTGATGCTATGTTCATATGGTTTATTAATTCATGAAAAATTGAGACTAGGGTTTTATAAAGCCTAATTTTTAAGGCATCTCCGTCATTTAATAAGGCATGATGAATTTTAGCAGAGTGGGCGACGAGTACGGAGTACCTCAATACTTGCGGTCTCCGGCAATTAATCACCTGGGAGTCCAAAAGTCCAAAGCAGGAGAGGAAAGATGGGGCGGCTAGTCGACAGGAGCCGAGGTCCAAGGAGGCAATATACTGCTTCGCCGCTTCCACCAGTGTTGTGGCGATGCACTGCTTCGCCGCTTCCACCAGTGTTGTGGCAATACACTGCTTCGCCTCTTCCAAGGTCCACGTGTGTGTTAAACCGAAGGGATAAGCATTGCAAAATTGATTGCTTCGTACTCCGTAATCCGTATTTCCTAAGAGGAGAGCGGACTGTTTGGTTGAGAAGTCTCGATCCAGACCTATGACGGACGTAGGTTAACGGGAGAGGCTGGGAGTGAGAAGGACTGCTTGTGCAATTTTATTAAATATATTAGTGTTTGACTATATGACCAGCACACATGGCCATATTTGTACACATGTCAATCGGAGGATAGAAGTGCATTGGTGCCCTCTAAAATAGGGTGGCATCAGAGAAAAACCCTTGTTCTAATTCAAGGCATGTTTTGGGACCTTGGTTTGATTCAAGACGATTGGGTAGTACATATTTCATTAGTTTTGTGTTCATAAATAAGTATAAAAACACAAAAGAGATGATGTAAAATGAAAGCGCATTAGCCTTGTTCAAAGCATCGTAGACAAAAAATGCATGTGACCGATTATTTGATGAAACATTAGTTCATCATATGATTATGTATCTATATAATTTTAAAAACGTGGAGGAATCTGAATCATTATGGACCCCAAAACATTTAAAATAGTTCATTTGTGGATATGATCTGAATCTGATTAAAAATATTGTGTCAATTTTGGTTAAATGACACTTAGAAGTTCCGCACTGTTTTCAAATGAGACGATGTTAAATATGATCATGCCTAAAACATGTTGTATGTTCATTAGAAACATATTTTCAGTCATCCAAAGTGTTTAAATGACGCCTCATTAATGATATACTAATTGTCCCATATAGGACTAAAAGAGAAGAGAAATTCTCAAATAGGACCATGTATGATTTCTTTCCTTAATAGGACCAATTTACTCCTATTCCTAAACATACGAAAATTTGCATCTCAATTCTGCCCCTGCACCCAACTTCCCTTCTCTCTCTCCCTTTACAAACATAATCGACCGACTCTTTCTCCACGCACCAAAGTAGATCGAGAGTTAACCGCTCTCTCATCATCTCCACGCAGATCTGCCGATCTCACCTTAGCCATCGCCGCCGTCGCTGACTTCACTGTGCACACAAGATCGAACGATTTCTCTCTCACACCGCCGCTGCAACCGATTTCTCAGTACGCCGCTGCCACTAAGGTTCTCCTCCATCCCTCCTCATCATCTTCTTCTTCCTCTTCCTCTTCTTCTTTTTCTTCTTCTTCTTCTTCTTCTCGATTTTCCTCCATTTTTCTGAATTTTGAATTGATTTTCCCAGTTTTCAGACTTCTATTTCGATTTTCTGATTTTTAATTTCAGTTGTGCAATTAACTTTGTTATTAGTCCTATTTGAGTCATTAACTCTTAATGATATAATTTAAGAGTCCTACTTGGGGTACCCCAATTTGTACCCCAATCTGTACAACGTCTGTGTACACAGACATTTGGACAGAAAGTCCTTCCCTCTTTCAAACGAATTGCCTGTGTACACAGGCAATTCAGGGGGGTGGGTACAAAATGAGGTACATTTTGGGGTACCTATAGAATTTTTGATAATTTAAAAGCATTCTCACCTCTAATATCAATAAAAGCATAATGCCATTTTTTACCCAATTATAGCTAAAATATTCATTTACCGCAACTTCTTCAAAAATAAAGTAATTTCAACCTTATTTATTTTAATTATGGTGACAACTCCGATACCCATTGGATTATCACTTTTAATTTTCATTTAAATAATTGAAATTCAATTTTCTTGATTGGTTCATGTGGACAAAGATATGGTACCTTATGGGTACTATATAATCCAACTTTACTTATTACACATTTCAGCGTGCTAAGTAAAAAACTGTGTGCTTGATCGAAAAGTTGGCTTAAAAGGTGAAGATAAAGGTTATTAAATAGAACATTGCTAGAGGTATCCCATTTTGTGACTTACAAAAACCCACACAATAAATTAATTGCTCCATTTTAATGAAGTACTTTTGTTAACCACAAAAACAGGGGGTACAAAATGGGGTACAGAATGGGATAACTTTAGTATTTGTGTATTAAATAAGCTATTATGTGGTTTTACACGAAACTTAGAATGGTATATTCAAACAAGGTAGAAGGGATAATGAGAATTCTTCCTTCATAGAATACCACCGGTAAACGATATCACCAAGTATAATTATCAAATTCCAATATACTCATATACAAAAATCAAATAAAAATATATTTTAACTGTAACATTTTTTCTAAATAATTTGATTAAGAAAGTAGCAAATTTATTCGAGAAGTAAAACTTCACATTATATGCGTGTTAGATATTTATGTAATATGAATGGAGAAATTCAAAGCTATATGCCTCCTTTGATTAACAACATAAATAATACATACATACGTAAAAGTAAACACATTAATTAGTTCGTCATATAAAAATACATGCGTACACCTTATTTAATTCAAGTCTTTCACAAATATTGAAGCAATATCCCGTGCATGCAGTGCGGATCCAGAAAAAAATATTATTGGGGCATAAATTAAACATATTAATGTTCTAAAAGTCACTAAATGCTAGTATAAAATATAAAATAGAATACTTCCTCCTTATTTTATTAGTTGCACCGTACATATATTCTATTTTTGAAAATATTTTAATATTTGCAATACTATCCGATTATGGTAAGTTGTCACTCTATAAATACATCAATATTTCTAGCTTTTATACTTCTTGTCTTTGCATTCATAGTATCTCATTCTCCACTACACTTTTCACTACCTCATGGAGTATATTGTCGATCAAATACCTCAGGGGTTCTAGCAAGACTGTCCAAGTCATCTACATAGATCACAACCTACGCCCCCAACTCAATGTTGACGGGCCTTCAGCGAGGCCGAGTGTGATAATTATCGCTTCAGAATTCTACATTGATGCTATCGAATGAGGTTGATTAGACCTAATCCATCTCAGACCGGTTACAATTCCTACACTTAGCCGTTCCCCAGACGTTTCAGACGTGCGCGCATCCAAGGCTTACTTCAATTCACAGCCATTACCGCTGACGTCACAGTCCAATTCGCGAAGGGATTGCATCATCAATGACATCACTGCTAGTTTAAAATGGTAGATTATTGTTAGTTTTCTTACACTTAAAAAAATGTAGCAGTATAGGGCTAAAGTACGAGTATCGTCTCCACATGGATAAATTCTTACCGCTCTCGCGACATAAAGTACAACGATTTAGAGAGCCAAACTGATCTCTCATGTGAGAGGCTTCTAAATCGCTGCCAAAATTAACGAGCGTAAGGCCCCCTAACTGTGCTAATCTCTTAGCGAGTGGTAATTAAGGTGTGTGTAAAAGTGTCCTAGAGTAATTTAGATTTCTCTTAAATTATTGGGATAAGGGTCAGATAGGGCCTCGAATTCGAAAAAAAATGTCAAATAAGGCCATATTTAGGATGCTCTGTCCGGCCGACGCCATTTGGGATGGTTCCCGGTGGAATTTTTTGATGATTTTTTTTTAGAATCTTATTCATTAAGTCTAGTTTACTCATATCAAATTTGAACTAACAATTCAATCGGGAAGGCATTCTAGTTTACTCATAACGGTACAGTTATCTTCAAGAATTCATTTGAATGCCTTCCCGATTAAAGTTTTAGTTCAAATTTGATATGAGTAAACTAGACTTAATGAATAAGATTCTCAAAAAATTTCATCAAAAAATTCTACCGGGAACCACCCCAAATGGAATCGGCCGGACAGAGCATCCTAAATATGGTCTTATTTGACATTTTTTTTTTCAAGTTCGAGACCCTATCTGACCGTTATCTCTAAATTATTCTATGTGTAATTATAATCGTATTGTCCGTTCCAGGTTACAAAACTTAATAATTAAACTATAATAATCATGTAATTAATCCATCAAGAGTGAATCCTAGATCATGATTACCCTCCTTCATTAATCCCAAATCTCTAATTAAATCTTTTCATAATTCATATTTGAATTAAATTCAATTGAGAAAGTAAAGATTAATTGTTATTAATTAAAAGAAAGAAGTTAAAACAATCCTTGAATTTCAAAGATCCAATGCTGAAAAAAGAATAGAAAATTCGTCTCAGGCGTGCCTTTAAGACTCTTTAACCCCAAAATAGGGGTTTAAAGCCTATTTAAATAGAAAACACTCGAAATAGGGGCATTCTTGCCATGCATACATGGTCGTGCGCACATCAGCCGTGCGCACGGTGCGCGCACGGTGCGCGCGTCCTGTGCTCACGACTATGGCGACCCATCAGAGAGCAGCAAAATCATGCAGGGCCTGTGTATCGTGCATGATCGTTCACATATATTTTTCTACATTCCAAATTTGGCTATGAGTTCTTCACCAAAGTTGAATCTAACGAAGTCTTCTATCAACCAAAATTTGAATCACATAATTTTGAACACCTAATCAAAAGATATGAATGAAATGGAGAAAGGTATCATCCTAAAATTCCAATAATTATTATCAGACTTCCTCACTTGGTTTCATCTTGATCATTTCATATTCTTCCCATGGTGTCTTCAGGTGATTTGTAGCTCATTGAGTTGGCTTTCGTATGAAACTGAGCGGTGATCCAAATAGCCATTGGGTTACGAAATGGTTGACAGAACGTCATCATGATTTTACATTGCGAGTTGGGCGGTAATCCAAATAGTCGTTTTCAAGCTAAAACTCTCCTTGTTAATCTCCAAAAGTCCATCTAGAGTTATTTTTCATTTAAAACATGATAATGTCATCCAAAAATACAAATAGTGGGGGAAAACATGATAAACCAAATTTTAACACAATATTGCAAGGAATTACGCGAGAATGTATAAATGACTTTCCACAACAAGTTAAAGTGTATTGAAATACGGACTTATCACTGACATCACCCCACACTACCATGACGTCATTATGTAGGTTCAACAAGTATTTAAGGAACACTTCTCACCATCTCATTGACTAGCTTTTTGGTCTTAAAGCCCAACCCTTGTATTTTTACAAGGGTAACTTAAAGTCCCCCATACAAGTCCATCCCTCTCATAGAAGCCCGTTTAAATATCGAACTAAGCAGTGCTAGCAGCTTGTAATTGTGAAACACCCTTCTCTTATTTTGTTGGGACACCCCACGAATTTGACAACCAAGGAAGGTTGATTGAGTGAAAAGAAGGCTGGAGGACA